ATTTTTTTTAATCGTGCGGCGAGTTTTAGCCCGCGTAACACGGTATTGAGCTAGATTTTCGGGCGTTGGACGATTATTGAATTTGTTCAGTGCTTCTCGGCGTTGTTTAATGGCTTCTTCACATTCTTTAGTGAACCATGGTTTGAGCTTTTTTTGAGAATTTGTCGAGGACTTAGGAATGGACTCTTCTGCAATTTCGATTACGATAGATGTAAATTGTCGAATTGGATTGTCATCATTTAGTATGGTATTCCTGTTAAGTTTCATTGTACAAAGTGTTTCATATTTGGCACAGTCAGCTTTCTTTAAGTTCCACTGTGGAATTGTGTCATCGATTTTGGTATTGGTGTTCTTAAGATATATTGGAAAATGATCACTGCTATGAAGGTCATCAGCGACCTTCCAATTAAAATCCAACAGAAGTGAAGGAGTACATATTGTTAAGTCAATGCAAGTGTATGTACCCGTTCCTGGGTGCAGATAAGTCGGAGACTTGTTATTAAATAGACACAAGTCGTATCTAGCAACAAAATCTTCAACTTTTTTCCCTCTGTCACTTATGTATTTCGATCCCCATAAAATGTTATGGGCATTAAAATCACCAAGTAAAACAAATGGCGTGGGAAGTTGTTGAACAAGTATGTCTAATTCGTTTGGTGATAATTTAGTATTTGGTGGTATGTAGACAGAACAAAATGTAATCACCCGATGTAGAGTGACACTTACAGCAATGGCTTGTAGATTTGTATTTAAAGGGATGTTTCTATGTGGGGCTCTATTGTTCACAGCAATAGACACCCCTCCTGAGGCCCTGTCAACGTTTTGTAGGTATGTGTTAAACAGGGAGTAGTTTTTGAATGTGATATTGTCCGTATCTTTTAAAAAGGTTTCCTGAAGACATAACAAAGCTGGATCATATTTATTTAAAAGCAGAAGAATCTCATTGTAATTAGCTTTTAAGTCCTCGACAGTTCCATTGTATTATTGTGTTTTTCGTTATAAATTTAGAATGGAGGTTTTGGATTTAGGTTAGACTTTTCGAGAGGAACATCTATAGGGTTATTTATCTGGGGGAAGTACGGGTGTGATTCTTTTGTTAGGTTTTGAGCTACCCTGAGAACACGGAGCAGTATCTTCTGCATCCATGTTCTCAATGTCCCCAAACCTATTGAATAGTTTGATGGGGTCATCTGACCCCTTTTGTTGTCTATTTCCATGGGATTTGCTTTTCTTTGGTGACTTAGTTTGCTGATTGTTGTTAAAGGTCGTTTGGGTACATAACGTGGTTTTTTGTGCTTGGTAATGTGGGGTGTTATGTTTTAATGTTGAATCGGGTATATCTGTTTGAGTTTGTGCGTTTTTCGTTGCTTTCTGGCTGCTCTTTACTACAGTTGAGAAGGATGGGCAGGGGAATGATCTAGCTTGAACAAGCTTCCTGGCCTCTGGATAGGGAATATTATTAGTGTATTTAATCCTCTGGATTTCCTTCTCCTGTCTCCAGGTGTCGCATTCCTTGGAACTAGCATGATGTTCTTTGCCGCAGTTTACACAGTGCGGAGTGGCCTTGCACTCTGATTCCCGGTGGGAGGAGTTGCCACGCCGGCCACAGATTTGGCTTCTAGAGCATCTGTCTTCATGATGGCCGTATTTTTTGGCATTTGTAACATCGGAGGAGATTTGGTATATATACCTCAACCTTAACTTGTAAGAAGCCAACCTTGACCACTTTAGGTAATATGGGCTTATTAAAGGTGAGTATAATAGTGTTGGTGTCCTGCAGATTGTTGTTTCGTTTGATACGAATTCTATGGACTGCAGTGACACCTTCAGTTTTCATGCCCTCGACGATGTCCTTGTCGCAGACTCCAGCAAGGTCACGGCAACGAATGATGCCTTTTGATGTATTAAGTGTAGAGTGGGCGGAGCAGGTTACTGGAATATCGTAAAAGGATTTAATTTTCAGTATATTTTCAGTTTGAGCTTTGCGCTCACACTCTACAAGTAGGTCACCTGATCTTAGCTTCTTCACACTTTTTGGCTTGCCGACTAATCCAAGTATAGTCTTTTCGACTATAAATGGTGACAATGTGGCAAGTTGTTTAGCTTCGTCTTTTGAATGGATGACCATGAAGCGAGGAAAGGATTCCACACTACATGGTTCATCATCCGACTCTGATGACACAGTTTTGGTACGTTTTGGAGTTTTTAAATTCTCCATGATGGCAGTTTGAAAGATTCAGCACCCGTGCTCCCCACCCACCAAGGAGCCCAACAAGGGGACACTTTTAAAGTGCCAGGGATACACAAACACCATACTCAGTTGGTAAAATTACCTTTAGTTGACCCTGAAGTTGCCAATTTCGAAGGTCAGTAAAATTACCCCCCGATTGACCCGTTAAGCCACCGCCTTCTAGGAAGTCTTCTAAGATTTAAGAAAGGGAAAGATATAGGAATAGAATATAGGGGCAACGGTGGTATCAAGCGAGATACAAGAATAAAGTAAAAGGAGGTGAGAGAGTTAATTAAGACTTCCTAGGGCTCGGCGTGACCAGCCGATTTGTCGAGACCGGGCCCATCTCAACCACCCGTCTTAAGAGAAGTAGAGGCCAAAGTAGTGTGTTGCAACTACCAGGATCCTTTCCTCCTCCGTTACGGGTCGCAACCCACGGCAAACAGGTTGCCTCTACTTAGTCGCCTTTTACGACACGTGGCGAGGCACGGCGGGCCAATTCTACAACCCCGGACCCGCAGGGGGACAACATAAAAATTAATTGCATCGCCAAGTGTCTGATGCTAGGTGTGGATTGCTCACTATATGTTGACGACGTTTTAATATGTTACCGATCCAAACACATGCATACAATTGAAAGACAATTACACAATATAAACAAAATTCAAAATTGGGCCAATACTAATGGCTTTAAATTCTCGAAATCAAAAAACTGTCTGTATGCATTTCTGTCAGTTACGAAGACATCACGATGGACCTAATCTCACGCTGGAAGGAACACCTATTCCAGTTGTTGAGGAAACAAAATTTTTAGGCATTATCTTCGATAGAAAACTGATTTTTATTCCACATCTGAAACATTTGAAAGCCAAATGTTTGAAATCTCATAATTTACTTAAAGTAATAGCGCACACTGACTGGGGTGCTGATAGGAGAGTCATACTCAATTTTGTACAGAACGTTTATCCGCTCCAAATTAGATTATGGTTGCGTTTTTTATGGTTCAGCAAGGAAATCGTATTTAAAGATGCTTGACCCAATCCATCATCAGGGAATAAGACTTGCCCTGGGAGCATTTAAAACATCCCCGTGTGAAAGCCTCCTCGTCGAAGCGGATGAGCCACCCTTATCACAACGTAGAGAAATGCTTTCCGCACAATATGCTATCAAATTAAGATCCAACCCTCTGAACCCAGGTTTTTCGGCAGTTTTTGAACCAAAATATAAATCCTTATATGACAATAAACCAAATGTCATACCTATATTTGTCATTAGAATATCACAATTTCCCGAAAGTACCCAAATTGTTTTTTTTCAAAAATTCTGAAAGCCAACATCTCTGAAACACCCCCATGGCTACTTCAGCATCCAAGGGTAATTTTTACGTTACATGATGGAAAAACAATCGGAGACAAACCCTTCTATTTTCCACAACTCTTACCATGAACTCCTCTCACAATTTGAAAATTATACAAAAATATATACCGATGGATCAAAAGATGAGGAAAAGGCTGCTGCAGCCTTCGTAAGTGGAAAACCCACTACCAAAGTTCGCTTGCCAAATGGTACGTCAATTTTTTTCAGCCGAAATTAGAGCAATAGACCTTGCTTTGCAATACATTGCAAGCAAGCGTATTTCAAATAGCATAATATTCTCCGACTCACTATCAGTACTTCAGTTACTACATAACAGAAAACTGGAGAATCCATTATTAGCAAACATTCTCCTTAAGCATTCTGAGCTGAGTACCTCCCACAATATAGTATACTGTTGGTTACCCAGCCATGTAGGAATTAAAGGCAATGATAAAGCAGATCGCGCTGCTAAAATGGCCCTATTACTAGAACCAACTGATTTTAAAGCACCCTATACTGATTTTAAACGTTGTATCAAAGACTTTACGTCAGAAATGGCAGGCATCATGGAATGATGCCGTGAATAACAAACTTCATGCCATCAAGCCAACCTTAGGAGAATGGACCCCTTCCTACAGATCCATCCGTAGAGAGGAGGTAGTCATTGCAAGAATTCGACTCGGTCATACTCACTTAAAACACTTCAACATATTAAAAGGAGAAGACCCACCTGAGTGCTTAACTTGTAATGAACCATTCACCGTTAAGCACGTTATGCTGGAATGCTTCGATCTTCAACCTACGCGTAATCATTACTACGTTGTGCAAGACATGACGGAGATCTTTGATAAAGTTAACATTAGCAACATTATAGACTTCCTTAAGGAAACAAACATTATAAGTTATAGCTTATATTTTATCACCTTATTCAATTCTGTGTTATATTTATGCAGTCGATAGATTTTAATTGCCAATTATATGTTTTCGTTATCATACATTTGCACTCCCCGTTGATCGGGAAACTTTTAATTATTTACCATTATTACCATTTTTATCACATTATCTTTCACTGTTTGGTCTCCAATCGCTGGTCGATAAAATTATTTTACCAGTTTTTAATGTAAAATTATATAACATTATGTTTGGCGCTAAATAGCCTCACAGTGCTCGTGCGCCGTAAAAAATATCAATCAATCAATCAAACTAGAAATCTCCCATAATATTCATGTCTTTCATCAGCCTAAAATATCTTGCAATTAGTTTTCCTTTAAAGATAAATTTTTTGGCAAAGTCCATTTCTAACCGATAATGTCGGCAAATCTATGCACTGTGTCACTATACCATTACGATGACCTGGTCAATTATACTGAAGTTTAAACGTAGACCATTTTATGTTTCAGAGATGGAATAGACCGTTCGGGTGGCCTAGTGGTTAGAGCGCCTGCCTCAAATTCGGGAGGTCGAGGATACGAACCCCGGCCGAGTAATACAAAGACTATAAAAATGATACTAACAGCTCAGCTGCCTCGCTTAGCGCTCAGCATTAATAGGTTAGTGTCAGGACTGGTTTGTCTGCTGTAATGATAATGTGACTGGATGGGACATCGTGCCACATGTCTGCGGCATGATTGCCCAGTGCTAGATATCACTATAAAGTATCACATTGCAGATATCGTAGCGAAATTACTGAAAATTTGTTAAAACAACGTTATAACTCGAAATCAAACACTCTGATATTAAATAAGAGACAAATATCAGTGAACTTTCGCAAGACTTTCTGTCTTGACTATGTTAACTTAAAAGAACAAATTTATTCAACCTTAAGTTTCAATAAGTTCGAAATTTTGCACATTACAATCGGCAATAAGTAAGCGGTACACAATTACTTATTGAATTGGGGAATAAGGAATAAATAGCAAAAGGTGTGTGAATATGGAATGCGTAATGGATCCTTGTTCCTAACAAGTGAACCAACTTTATGTCAACAGTTGTTACCGGATTCTGAACGTCCACAATCCCCGCCTTCTCCCGATGTCTGCCAAAATCAAAGAAACTACCAAGGTCATTTGCTATGACATGTTCCCAGTGTCCTTCGTGATTAGCGGGTATAAGACCAATTCTGGCGCCTTTTCTACTCATCTTTCCGCACTAGACAACAACTACGCTAGGACTAGCCTGATTTCGCCTGTCTCTTCATTACTAGGATAGTGCCGTTTTTCGTGCTGCTTTGAACGTAATAGCAACGTCTTCTTTACTGGATTTGGTAAATTTCAGGCCTAAATAGAAATGTGAGTAAAAGGATATCTCTTTCCACCGACTATTCGATATATACATGGCAAACTGTATATAAAATTTGAATCCGTAACAATCTTCACTCACTACATCGTTTCATCATGCCACATCTTAACACGATATTAAATATTAAATATATTTTCTAATAGTCAACACATACATTTATATTTCTGTGGAATTCTAAATTTGAACGACTGGTTATAGCTGAACGTGTGAGTGGGTGTGGTATAATAGAATATAACATTATACGCAATGTGTTTAAGTCTTTATTTCATTAAATGTTTTTGACAATCAGTTTATAATTAAAGTATAGTTATATGGGATAAAAGAAGCAATTAAATATTGTATTTCCCGCACAATAAATCACAACAATAAGTTATTGCATTGTAGTTAACTTGTTGCAAACATCGCAATGCTAGGTGGCGGGGTCTGCCATATTGGTTTTGCATTTCTCTATGATGAGATAAGGTGGTTCGTTTGCTTCAGCGAGAAGGCTTTCACACAGGGATGTCTTAAATGCTTTTAGACCGAGTCTTTTTTTTGATGATGGATTAGGTCAAGCATCCTCAAATAGGATTTCCCAGCTGAACCATAAACAACGCAACCATAATCCAGTCTGGAGCGTAAAATCCTAAATAAATTGAGGATCACTTTTCTATCAGCACCCCAGTCAGAATGTTTATTTTTCGCTAAATTTCCTCAGAAATGTGCATTAAACATGCATATTTTAACTCTGAGAAGAAAATAAAGATAATGTGTGCATTTATCAATGCTTTACAGTAAAACGCTTTGGACATATTTGTATACTTTCGGTAATAATAGGATTTCCTGAGTGACGTACTGTCAGGAAGTTCCGTACGTTTATCGTATGTGGTGAAGATGGCTGAAATTTGTGACGATTTAAGCAAATTTATGGCATATTTGTCATGGTCATTTTGGTTGTGTGAGGAAGGCGAACTCTTAGAAGACGGCAAACGTAGTGAATCTGAAGAAAATTCAGCTCTCTGAGGATAGATAGTAATTCGTAATAGACGTTTTAAGTCGCTTGCTGCCGTGAGACTGATACCACTCCTTACAGTCCCAGGCATGGACTGCAATCCTCGGGGGTGGGGGGCTTACAGTACCAGGCATGGACTGCGGTCCCCCGGGAGGGTGCCTGGCCTTTTCCTGACTCCTAAGAGCAGGGACCTAAAAAAAAAAAAGACCCATTAATTCTTAAGTTGACTCTCGAAAATGGCAGAACCGCAACTAACTCTCCTACCCGGGCCGCGACTCCCACCCACCAATGTCCCCAAGTTATTATCCACCTAACTTTATTTCAGTTAGGTGGAATTTTTTTGTCAAATATAAACCAGTTTTTTCCTACGGGTTTCCTATATCCATGTTGTGTGAGCCACCTGTGCAATTGTTCTAATGAGCCTGAGTTTGTGTACATGTGAGGTATGGGGGTTTATCTTTCCTTGACGAGCCTTTTAGCTGGAGCTGCTAAGTGCTCTAAAAGTCGGAACGCTCATTTGGTTATCCTGACTACTCCACTCCTGGGAGTTCGGATTGGTTCGGATCTACGGATCGTTACGCCTCCAAGAGACAGATGACTGGCTTCATCTGCCTTGAAGGTTGGATCAACAAGTGGGATGTTCTTGTCGGAGAGGATAGATAGTACCAATTTAAGCCCGAACGAGACGAGAGGTGGACGCGGACCCAAAAGAGGACAAGAGCATAATGAGGCTGAGTAGCACTTGAGACATTCATTCTGGTAATTACTATTATCATTATGGCAAATATTACTATGTATACTCTCCCACCAATTTTCAGTTTGTTTACAGTCGTAAACGACTGCATCACCTATATAACGTTATGTATATTTAATTTGCATTATTGATTGGCTTTTCTTAATGATTAGTTTGTACTTGATTTTGTCCAAAGTCAAGATAATAGTGCACCTGACCAATAACATTTATTTTGCAAACATATTACATAGCTAAATATTTCTCTATGATTGTGGATTAAATATTCAGATCATTATTAATGGTAAACTTGTTTATAGTTAAGATTCTGATCTTAGAAACTTCTAGAATGGACAAATTCACAAAGTATTTTCAGAAAATGGTAACTTTGTGACCTATCTTAAGTAGAGGGGCATATACACGTAATTATTTATCCTTGCCTTAACATATGAAGCAGAATGACTCTTATTGTTGTGTTCAGTTTTTAGTTTGGGTGGATTAATTTATTCAAATTATTACAAAGTGCTCAATGATTTGCTTGGACTGAAACATTCATTTGGAATTATAGTGAATTCAGACAAGAACATTTTGGAATATAATATTTCTCATACATCAAGACTCTGCATATCATCACACTCCTGGCCTTTGGCACGTTAGTACATTTGAGACTACAGAAACTTCAATACATTTAATTTGGAATTTATTTGCAATACCGCTGGAATTCAATTTAAACTTGATAAATTTGGTCTTGTGACGGAACTTGAAGGACTATTTCGTATTTACTTCACGATATTGTTAGTTCTTTTTAAATTTTTACTTTGTATTCAAGGTAAATCAATTATTTGTTGGTTTTCATTCTTTTGTGTTACTTAGTTTAAGACTCTAAAGTCATAACTAGTTCGATCTTAATTTTGCATGTAAATTTATTCAGGTGGCTCATTTTGTGGTTTGAAACAACGTTATGTCATTTTCAAATTTTGTTGTTCCATACGTGTCACTTTTGTGATTACTGATTGATTTTTTTCCCTTGTTTGCTTCACTATGGTTACTGAATGGTTAGGTCTATACTCCCAGGCTGGTTTGTTCTGGGTGTTTTTGCTTGCTTTACATGGAGCCATGTTTGAGTAATCAGTAGCTTCGGCTGACCATTAAATTAATTTCTGGTTGCATTTGGAGTTAGATACTTCCACACTCAAGTCCTCAAAGTCATGTTAAACATTTCCACTACTGATGTTTCGTTTTTTAACATGTGATTTATCAAACACAGATTTATGCACTGGGTTGATTTTTATCATCCTTTTTAGGCCACATAAAAATGCTATTAAATAAACACAATATGACAGTCTATTAAATGGATTCACTTTCACGTTCGTCCTATTCAGATTTATATACATCACATCAAACTAAAGTTTGAAAGTTTACAAATATTTTGAATGCAAAAATCAGATATTGTAACAATATATAAAATAAACCTGTTATAAACTTGTTATCATTTGTACTTATAATTATACAGCAATGAAATAAACATGAGATTAATTTATCTTATGGTAATATTTCTCATAATTATCTAATAATTAATTTGCTTGTATTTGGAATTGGTACTGAATAATCATATCACTAACAGAATTAGGCTGATTGCAGATTGAACTTATAATGCATGTGGAACAGAATTAGGTCGATTGCAGATTGAACTTATAATGTTTGTGGAAGATAATTAGGTTGCTTGCAGATTGAACTTGCCCGTGAAAAAGAATTAGGTTGATTGGAGATTGAACTTATAATATGTATAGAAGAAAAAAGAGGTTGATTGGAGATAAACTTGTCTGGAAGAGAAATAGGTTTATTGGGGATTGAACTTATAATGACTGTGGAAGAGACTTAGGTTGATTGGACATTGAACTTATGTCTGTGGAAGCGATTAGATTGATTGGAGATTGAACTTATAATGCCTGTGGAACAGACTTAGGTTGATTGGAGATTTAACTTATTTCTGTGGAAGAGATTAAGCTGATTGGAGATTGAACTGATGATGTCTGTGGAAGGGATAAGTTGATTGGACATTGCAATTTTTCTGTGGAAGAGATTAGGTTAATTGAAGATTGAACATATAATGCCTATGGAACAGAATTAGATTGAGTGGAAATTGAACTTACAATGCATGTGGAAGAGAAATTGGTTGATTGGAGATTGAACTTATGTCTGTGGAAGAGAATCAGGTTAATTGGAGATTGAACTTATAATGCCTGTGGAAGAGAATTAGATTGATTGGACATTGAACTTATAATGCCTGTGGAAGAGAATCAGGTTGATTGGAGATTGAACTTACAATGCCTGTGGAAGAGAATCAGGTTGATTGGAGATTGAACTTATGTCTGTGAAAGAGATTAAGTTGATTGAAGATTGAACTTATAATGTCTGTGGAAGAGAGTTAGTTTGATTGGGGATTGAACTTATAATGACTGGAAGA